ATGTCATAGATCTTTGCATTGCTGAGAAGAGCTAAGTCTGTCAAAGTCAGTCACTGCATGATGTGGCTGTTACTGTGTACAATATTCTCCTGGTTCTGCTGGAGTGAGCTTTCTTATGTGTGTTAATAGTTTAGAATACTTCTTCCTAGGAATATTTATTCATATCTTTTGACTGATTATTCATCCTTGGCTCCATGGCTCTTGTTCTTATATGTTTGTGTTAATTCCCTGTGTGATTTTGCTATCAGACCTTTGTCAGATGCATTTGATGCAGTTTTTTCACCTAATGGATGCTTTCCTGCCCTGCCCTAACTATAAAAATCTAATTTTTACAAAGCTTTTCAATTTTATGTGATTGAAATGACCCTATTTTTTTGGTTTGACTGATCCTGTGGATATTGCTGTGGAGGATGCAGTTGACTATCTGGTACTTTTTACTTTGAACTCCAAATCCCAACATTGTCAGTCAGTTTTCAAAAACCCATTACATTCATTTTGTGTTTGTCTCTGTCCCTTTTTTGGTTAAAAATTTTCCCTTTAACGTTTCTGGTGAAAGTACCTGAATTGTTTTTTTTGAAAAAGTTTTAATGATGTGCCTTTAAAAATTCAATGTGTTTATCCATTCCAAACATTGTGGTAATATGATTTCAGATGTTTTGGGAGGGGCCAGACTTAGGCCAGTCCCCTGGCATTTTGGATTTGATATTAGAACAATATGAGGCACACATAAGACATCCAAAAATTAACAAAAGGAAATTTACTTAGCATAGCAGTAAGAGGACATTTAATAATACTATGCATCTAAGATGCCCCAAGTTGATATAGCTGAGAGAAGCTCTTTGCCGAGTTATCACTTGCAGTCTGCCAAGAGTCAAAATGGGACTGGAGATCCTCATTTCTATTTTAATCAGGAAGTGATATCAACAACCTGAGCATTTAGTCCTTTGAGCCAGTCAGTTCTTGAGGATGATTTCAATACCTTCAGAGACAAATAGCCTGATTTGAATGAGGAGAGGGATTAATATATGGCCCCTACCACATTCTGCTCCTTGGTGGTAAGGTCCTTAACTATTATTAGAGAATTTTTCGTCACTTGAATGACTTTAGAAATGTTTCTGGTGAACGCTGATCTCTGGTATTCAAAAGGTTCTGATATAGATAGCACTAAAGGAGGAAAAGTAAAACTAAAACAGAAACAGAGTAAAGTAAAAATAAAATAATTTAACGGCTCTTGAAAAGAGTAACAGAATGTGGGAGATAAAAGACCAGAAATCTCAGGCTTTACTCTTCTATCCCTCCCCATTTCCATTTCGAAGGTCCATGAGCTGGGTGATGCCATATTTTCATAGTTCACAGTAGATTTCTTGGTATAAAGAATTGACTATAAGTGGGAAATGTAGGTCCTTCCTTATTTAACTTGTTCCACTGATTTACCTTTTCACTCTCACTGGTGCCAAATAGTTTTATTCATTAACACTTTATGAGTCTAGAAGTGCTATTTCCCCTTGATGGATACTTAAAAAAAATATAATTTTACTCTTACGTTTTGTTTTTATACAAACTCAATTTCCTAGCATATTCAAAACTATTACAATAGTCTGCTGGCTATTATCCCTACTTCAAGTCTTTCTCCACTCCAGTTTATCCTCCACTCATTTGTCAAATTGATCTTCCTGAAGTACAAGTCTGACCATGTCACACCCTTATAATTCTGGGCTCCCTGTTGCCTTCAGGATCAAATCTAAAGTCTTCCATAACCTGCCCCACTACCTTACCAATCCTTTTTTTTTTTTTTTGGTGAGGCAATTAGGGTTAAGTGACTTGCCAGGGTCACACAGCTAGTAAGTGTCAAGTGTCTAAGGCCAGATTTGAACTCAGGTCCTCCTGACTCCAAGGCTGGAGCTCTATCCACTGTACCACCTAGCTGCCCCCTTACTGGTCTTGTTACACCTTACTTGTCCCTACCTCTTATGTACTCTTTAATCCAATGATACCATTCTCCTTGCTTTTCCTTACAGAAGACACTCTACCTACTTTACTCCACTTCCTGGTTTCTTTAGAGTGCTGGCTAAAAATCTCACTTTCTGCAAGAAGCCTGTCCTGGCCTCCCTTAATGCTAGTGCTTTCCTTCTACCTATTATTTGCAATTTATCATATATATATATATACACACACATACATATGTATATACACACACATACATATACATACATACATACACATATACATACATATACATATATGTAGTTTGTCCTTAGTTGTTTTCATGTTGCCTCTCCCATTAGACTGTGAGCTCCTTGAGAACAGGCATTTTTTTTGACCTTTTTTTGTATCCCTAGCACTAAGCATAGTGCCTAGCACATATGTGCTTAATAAGTGCTTGTTGACTTAACTTGACTTCACACCACCCAGACAGCCAAAAAAAAAATAGAAACCCCCCCCCAGCAAACCAATCAATACATCAAAATTATCTGATATTCTATGCCATGTTCTACACACATGGACCCACCACCTCAGTAAAGAAGTGGGGAAAATAAGTTCTGTTTCTTCTTGGGGTTGGTCTTTTTAAAAAAATTTCTCAGCATCCATTTTGATTATTTTGAATTTGTTGTTCTTTCCATTTATGTTGTTGTAGCAATTTAAATATTGTTTTCTTAACTCGTTTTATTGTGTATTAGTTCATGTAAGTCTTTCCAGGAATCTTTGTATTCATTGTTTTTTTACAATACAGTAATACTCCATTACATTCACATCTCAATATTTGTTTATCTAGTACATGGTACATAAAGTACCTTTAGGAAGGTATTGAAGACAGCCTTATTAATTGGTGCTATAGAGGGGACTCATGGGCCAGTAGAGGTAAGATTCTATGATCCCTGAAATCCATTAAATTGGGATATTCTGTAATTTTTCCAAGTGGAGACCTTGAAAATTGAAATTACTCATAATCATACAGCTAAAGAGTAACCAAGGAAACACTTGAACCTAGGTCATAGAATAATAAAATGTCAGAGATGAAAGGGACCTTGAAAATAATCTCATTTTCCCACCACATTTTATGTAATACATTTTAATTTTTTGTTGATCTCTTGTTTTATGTCACGTTAATTTCTGGTTGTATCTCTACCTCTTCTACTCATTGAGCTTTCCCTTGAAACAAAGGGAAAAAAATCCCAAATATTTCATTCTGCTCCTGGCTCCGTTTCTGGTCCTCAGGACTCACAATGCCTCAACTGCCCTCTCACCCTGGAACTTCCCTCAGCACCTATGGCCTTCTTACCCTGGCAGATAACTCTGCTCCTGCCATCTTCTTCCCATTAGTAAGTGCCTCCTGGTATCTTCATTTTTGGAACAGATCAAGGCTGACTAGGCTTCATTCCCCTTCCAGTTATTTCTGACTCTATTTTAAAATTTATTTTATTATTTTTCTAACTCTAAGAACTTTGCCACCATGCCCCCCCCCTCCCCCCCGTATATAACCTCCTACCCCCATTGCTTTCTTGGCTCCCTTTTATGCTTTATCTTCCTACATGAACACTGGAATTGCTCTTCTCTGATTTCCTTATCTGATCACAGTCTGTTAGTATTCCTCTTCTACCTCTGCCTTCTGATACCAAACCCTGTTCTTCGTCTACACTGTGACCTCCAATCTCTTGATTCTTCAATTCTTTCTTGGGCTGTCACCCCTGCCCTAGTTCCCCTTTTTGACCCCTTAGCAAGACAGTTAAACTGTACACTATCCTCTTCTCCTGAGTCCCTTACCCATCTTATCAGATTGGTGAACAAAGATAGAGATCATGTAGTCAGCAAGAGTGCCCTAAGCATGAAAATTTATGTTACATAACTTCAATTGGGTCCTCCTTGCTACTAGGCAAATTCTTTATTCATCCTAATTAACTCATTATCCACTCCTAAACCTTTTCATCCCTTCTCAAATTTCCCATGGCTCCTCTTCCTGACACCTTATCAAATGAGAACTTTGCTTCATATTTTACTGGAAAAATTGATGCCATTCATAAGGAGCTCTCTTTTCTCCCCTCTTCATTATTCATATCACCCAGGTGCCTTCTGCCACCATTTCCCCCTTCACTGCTGTCTCCCTCGCATGAGGTGACCCTTTGCCTAGATAAAGCCAAACCCTCTATATGCATAAGAAATCCCATTCCATCCCATTTCCATTAGCATATTTCCCCCTCTACCATCCCCACTCTTTCACTTATCTTCAAGTTCTTCATATCTACTAGATCATTCCTTCATAGTAAGTGCTTAATAAATGCTTGTTTCCTGTTGCCTGGAAAATAAAAAAAAAAGTTTAATGAAAGCAACCAACACAGTGATGATTTAAGATGGTACATACAATATTCCATACCCATAGTCTCTCATGTGTGCAAGGAAGACAGGGTAGTATGTTTCCCCAAATCTTTCTTACATATTACACAGAATTCAGGTTTTTTTCTCCTCATTTACATTATTAGTTATTGCATATATATATATATATACATGTATATCGATATACATATATATATGTATATCGATATACATGCACATTATGTACACACACACACACACACACACACACACACACACATTTCTCCTGCCCCTACTTACTTCGCTTCTAAAAGCTTTCCTAGGTTTGTCTAAATTCTTTATTGTCAGCTTTTCTTAAAGCAGCAGTGTGGCATAGTAAAATAGAGGGATAGGTCTTGAAATTAGGAAGGCCTGAGGCCACCTCTCACAACGGAGACTATTTAGTGCTCCAGGCAAGTAAGCCTGCAAGTTGCAGAATTTCATTTTGTCTAGCTCTATAAAGCACTCCCTGTGTAGTTGCCCCTTCATTTCCCAGGTGAGGAAATGGAAGCACAAGAGATTATAATTGCTCAGCTAAGAAGTAGGTAGAACCAGAAGGAGAAGCAAAGCTCCTATGATCTTATCACAGTACATTACCACTAGTGTAGAGAGGTGAGCAATTGACTTCATTCATCATACTTGAGACATTTTATTGAAAATTTATTAAATCATTGGATTATTCTTGGAGACACAGGCACTCAGGCCCAGGAGGATGTCTACAGTCATAGACAGAGGCCTGACTTCCTGGTGATGAGCATTCTCAGGGCTCCTTCACATCTTTGTTTCTTAGGCTATAGATGAAAGGATTCAGCATGGATGTGACCACAGTGTACATCACAGCTGAAGCTGTGTCCTTTTGGGCTGTATGGGTGGATGTAGGGTTGAAATATACTCCAATGATTGTTACATAGAAGAGACAGACTACAGTAAGGTGGGAGCCACACGTGTTGAAAGCTTTCTGTTTCCCATGAGCCGATGGGATCTTCAGGACGGCAGTGAAAATGCGTATGTAGGAGATGAGGATGCCAATGAAGAACATGATGGCTGTCAGTCCTCCTACTGTGTAGACCATCATGTCATTAAGGAAAGTATCTGAGCAGGCCAACCTTATCACCACACTGAGATCACAGAAGAAATGAGGGATTTCATTGTGGCCACAGAGTGACAATTGGGTCAGGGAGACAGTGTGAATCAGGGCATCAGTACAGGCCCCAAACCAGCACACTGCTACTAGATGGGCACAGACATTTTGGGTCATGATCATGGTATAGTGTAATGGGGCACAGATAGCCACGTAGCAGTCATCGTTGGAAAGTACATGGGAAAAAGAGATGAAACTAAAGAGGCCCATTTAAAGTTGGTTTCAGTATTTTTGTACGAACAAAATCAGTAAAGATAAAATTGGAAAAGAATGGAATAGTGGGAAAATATTTGCATTAAAGAAAATGCCACTGCTAATAGTATATTTTGCCAAAATATATAGGGAATTGAGAAGAAATGTATAACATAAGGGCCGTTCCCCAATAAACAAGGAGTCAAAGGATGGAAACAAATATTTTTCTAAACAAGAATTGTTAACTATAAATGATCTCAGGAAAACATGTTCCAAATCATTAATAATAATATTTGCCGTTTCACCTCATACTCGGAAAATTTGGAAATGTGACAAAAGATACAAATGCTAACTGTTGGAAGGATTTTGGGAAGATAATCATGGGGCTTCCCTGTTGATAGAGCTGCAAAGGAATCCAAACACAGTATTTTAGACATTGGGGAGAAAGGGAAAAGACTATAAACATTTATTAAAAACCTAGTATTGTGCCAGGCACCGTGCTACACACCTTACAAATATTATCTCATTTGGTCTTACTTTGAAAAGTTATGTTTTGTCTAAAAGGACAAAATAGATAAAGGAGTGATGGATATTTAGCACTGTATATTTAGACAATATACTTTTAGACAAAGAAATCTAAGAACCAGATAAAGGAAGTATGGTGGATTCAATTATTATCTCTATGCAAATGATTCTCAAACCGTTTATCTACCTCTAACTTCTCCCCTGATGTCTAGGCTTTTCTTTCCAATTGCCTATTGGAAATCTCAAACGTGTCCAAAACTTCCTTTCTTCCCAACTTCCCTTTTACTGTTGAGGATACCGCCTTCCCAGGCTTATAACCTACCTGTCATGCTCTACTTTCTGTCACTCCTACCCCCCATATCCAATCTGCTGTCAAGTCCTGTTGATTTTACCTTCATGCTATCTCTCTTATATACCTTATTCTCTCCTCTGACCTACTATCATGGTGAAGGCCTTGATCACCTCTTACCTTGACTATTGCAAACGCTTCCGTCTGACGATTGTCTACAATTTATGCTTTATTCAAATCTTGTTTGGAAATAGTTGTTTTTATGCTGTTTTCTGATTAGACTGTGAGTTCCTTGACAGCAGAAACTGCTTAAAAAACTTTGTTTGTATCCCCAGCACTTAGCACAGTGCCTGATGAATAGTAAATAATAAATGTTTATTGACTGACTAATACCATTTTGCTGAGGATCAATGGAAAGAGAAAGAGATACAATACTCTTATAATAGTACACTATAGACTACTTATCAAGAGAGAATAAATACATCAAGGGTTTGGGAAACTGATCACAGGCCTGATGAAGAGACACGAAAAGGTAACAATTATTTACATATGCAGATATCCTTTCTCTGCCCAAAGCACAAGAGCCAATGCATTTTTTGATTGCTGTAGTGGTACTTTTATTTTCAAAAATGTGAGGCAAAACCCAAAAGACCAGGGGGTATATGATTATGAACCTGATTATGACCAAATTGGAGAACACGCATTTGAGGCAGAAAGTATTGGAACCTTGCGAGGATATGACCACTAACTTAAAATTTGTCATAAAGGATAAGTGAGTAAGTATTATCTGATGCATGATCTAGATTCTGGGAAAGCAAATTTCAAAGGGCTCAGAAAAAAGGTAGTTCGTATCCCACAGCTTAAAATGCTATAGGATAAGGAAGAATGGGAAGCTCTCAAGAATCAAATTCTTAAAACACAAACAGTTGTGATGAGAAAGAGAAAGTCTGAAGAAACCAAAAAAGGTACAAAGGGAATCCGCTGACCGTCATAGATTTTGGTAATATCTTTTCAGAAGATGAAAACAAGGGCAAGTAATAGAAGATAGATACAAATACGTGCCCCAGTCCCATGAAAATATTTCATTAGGGGTGCTAGAGATTAGAATGATTTAAACGTTGTGGTAACATCCAATAATGAACTGTCATTCAGTCATTTGCAGTCATGTCTGACTCTTGGTGACCGCATTTGGGGTTTTCTTGGTAAAGATACTGGAATGGTTTGCCATTTCCTTCTCTTGCTCATTTTACAGATGAGGAAACTGAGGCACACAGGGTTAAATAACTTGTCCAGGGTAACACAGCTAGTCAGGCTGGGTTTGAACTCAGCCTTCCTTACTCTAGGCCTGGAGCTCTATTCACTGTGCCACCTAGGTTCCCCCCTTCCTCAAATGAAAAAGAACTTTTAAACTCTTTTTTTTGAGAAAGAGGAAGACTAAACAAGGTATAGGAAGAGCATTCGGGGTAGATGGAATAATGAAAATGCCTAGTTCATTGTTTTCCTTCATGCTTGAAAAGGACCAAAATGACATCACTACATTGAAGTCAAGTTTCAGTGTGTCTGATTGTGGCTGGTCAGAGCAATAGGAGCTCAGAAGGCTCTACCACACATAGTCCACATGAACATTTGGTGTGGAAATTAAAATGCACAAAAAGAAAGAAGGACATATGAAATCTTACCTTTGTTTTTTTCTGTCAAACTGTATGAATAGTCTTTAGATAAGGAGTAGTTTCAGAAGCATGTCTAATATGGAGCTGAAAGTCAAGATGAATGAGGGGGTGGTAAGAGATCATCTGACTGCCCTTTATTTAGTAAATTATTTACTAAATGCTACTAAATTTAGTGAATTTTCCAGTGAACCAGCCTACATGAACTACATCACAGGGTCATGGAAATCCTAGAGAATGTGACTGCTCGGTCACTGGCAGTATTCTTGGAGAAACTGTGGAGAAAGGGAGAGATGCCACAGAACTGGATAAAGAAAAATAATGCTGATAGCACTTCTAGGGCTATATCCCAAAGAAATAAAACAAATGGGAAAAGGACCCACATGTACAAAAATATTCATAGCAGCTCTTTTTGTGGTGGCAAAGAATTGGAAATTGAGAGGATGCCCATCAATTGGGGAATGGCTGAGCAAGTTGTGGTATATGAATGTAATGGAATACTATTGTTCTATAAGAAATGATGAACAGGCTGACTTCAGAAAAACCTGGGAAGACTTATATGGTCTGATGCTGAGTGAAGTGAGCAGAACCAAGAGGACTTTGTATACAATAGCAGCCACGTTATGCAATGACTAAGAATGTTAAACTGAACCCTTCTCAGCATTACGAGGATCTAAGACATCTCCAGAGACCTCAGGATGGAAAATGCTGTCCACATCCAAAGAAAGAACTATGGAAGTCGAATCGCTCTCACTTATTTTTTACCTTAAGTTGAGTTTTGTTTCATCTTTCTGATGGTTCCTCCTATTGGTTTTAATTTTTACTTACAACTTCACTAATGTGAAAATATGTTTAATGGGTATGTAAATGTAAAGCCTATGTCAGATTGTGCGCCGTCTTGGGGAGGGTGGTGAGGGGAGAAAAAGGGAGAAAAAAATTTCAACTCAAAAGCATATGGAAAAAAAATTAAAAAAAAAAAGAAAAATAATGCTGCTGCTTTTGTACTCAGGTTTACCTGACTCTAGGCCTAGTACTCTATCTACTGTGTCACCTAGCTGCCCAATACTGGGCTAGCAGTTGACTAATATCATCATAGCTTTTTTTTCAGAGAAACTCTTGTCTGGACACATCTGTGGCTTGTGCAGTTGCTTTTTGGAACAAAGGAGTAGAATTTTACATGGATTACTAGTAAATTTCTAGTTTGCTAGTAAATTTCTTTACTACTAGCACTACTACATTACCAGTAAATTTCTTCTCATTATATTGTATCTTTTCAAATGTTTCTTGAAACCTGATTCTGTCATCAACGTATAGGCTATTTCTCTGAAACTTCTTGCCATGCCTGAACTTATAAGCATACCATTTCTGGGGCAGACAGTGAAAATTCTCAGATTGGAAGACAGAGGGTCTTGTGTGACAAATAACAAGGTAGTCACTGTCACTAGATCACAGAGTTCTTAGGGGTGAGTAGGAAGACAGGAAAGGTAGGAATGGGCCATCTATAAAGGTTATGAAGTCAAACAGAAGATTTTATATTTGATTCTAGAGGCAATGGCGAGCCACTGTAGTTTATCAAATTGGGAGCAGGGGTGACATGGTCAGTCCTATGTTGAAGGAAGATCAATTTGACAGCTGAGTGGAGAATGGATTGGAGTGAGGAGAGACTTGCCACCAGCCTCCTCTTCAGTGGGTATTAGAAGAGCAAGGGGAACTCATTGGATGCCTCACATGGGTATGGAGAATTCTTACTCTTGTGGATACTTAAAAATTAAAGTCCTTACAGAGTAAAACCCAGTGCTTGCTTCCTTCTTTAAAGCCAGCATAATCAGCTGACATAAAGCACCCATTCTGAGATGGAATGTGGCTTTGGGATGAGAATGTAGGTCATAGACTCTGGGGAAGGATTGGATTTCTGGTGAGGTAGATAGAGTTCTGGACTTGGAGACAAGAAGACTTTGAGTTCAAATCATGCCTCAAACACTAACTGTGTTACTTTGGGAAAATCACTTAACACTGCCTCAGTTGCTTTATTTGTAAAATGGGGATAGCACCTATCTTACAGATTCATTGTGAGGATCAAATGAGCTAACATATGTAAAGTGCTTTGTATACGTCAAAATGTGATATAAACACTAGCTATTACATTATTTAACTCAGATGACTTTATTTAGGAAGAATTGGGATTTATGTTATTTTGAGGTGGAAGGAATATCTTTTATTCCTAGATGGAAAAATCAAGGCCATTAGTGGTCCTTCCTTTTCTGGATGCTTGCATATCTGCTTCTAGCAATCAGAAGCCTTTGGACAGCTATATTATTATCATAGGAATACCAAGTACTCCTATATACTCCAGTATAAGGTATACATCTCTAAGTCTGACTCATGTTCTTGAAAACAGCATTCCCATCTGCGAATTCCTGGTGGTGATTGGCTATTCAGAACAATAAACAGGTAAAACTGAACTTGAGAGAAAAGATTCTATCAACAGAATTATTTAAGTATCAAAAGTTGCAGAAAATGTGTTTCAGCTTCGCAAT